CCTTTTTTGACTGGAATCAAAGAATGTCGACACTTGTTTACCTATTAAATTAAGAACTAATTTTCTGCAGTTTATTATCATGAAATTTTCAGAGGTGAATATATATATAATATATAAAAGTTTATTTGCAGTAGCTCAAGATTTATAAAATAGATAATTTGAAAACACTCTAAGTAGTTCTTGACCAACAGAACTTTCTACAGTGACTAAAATTTTCTGTATCAGTTGTCAGTATAGTAGTCACTGGCCACACATGGTTACTGAATGCTTGAAATGTTACTATATATAATGTTACTGTTACATAACATAAAAGTTACCACTCTAATCATTTTTAAGATTATTCAGTAGCATTAATTACATTCACAGTCATATACAACTATTACTACAACTTATTTTCAAAACTTTATCACCACAAACAGCAACTCTGTAGTACCACCTTTCCATTCTCTTCATACCTTTTCTCTTCCAAGCTTCTGCTAACCTCTAATCTACTTTCTTTCTCTATGAATTTACTCTAGGTATGTGACAAAAGTGAAACTGTATTAGTCTTTTTGTGGGTGGTTTTTTTCCACTTCACATTTTTAGTGCTCATCTATATTGTAAGGTGCACCAGAATTTAACTCTTTTTATAAATGACTAACTTTCCCTTGTTTACATCACATTTTGTTCTTCCACTCCTTTTTGGACACCTGAGTTATGTATTAGTTCATTCTTTGCTGCTATAATGAAATATACAAATCTAAGTGCTTATAAGGAGAAAAAGGTTGACTTAGCTCCAAGTTTTAGATATTTAAGATCATAGTGCCAGCAGTTACTATGCTCTGGTGATGCTGCCTTCTAGCAGCATCACAATATAGCAGAGAAACAGAAAGGGAACTGGACCCATGCAGAAAAGACCAAGCATGTGGGGCAGGACTGCTTTCATAACAACATACTCAGGAAAAGTAGCTCACTTTAGAAGACCATCATTAATCTCTTTAGAGGACAGGGCCACAGTGATCTATTTGCTCTATATCCCCACCAAAGGTAATACCATCTTATACTGTCACATTTGGGACCAAGCTTCCAGTACATGAAACTTTGGGGGACGAAGCATAATCAACAGAAGTTTGTTTCAACCTCTTGGCTACTGTGAAAAATGTTGCTGTGAACACTGGCATACAACTATCTGAGTCCTTGTTTTCAAATCATTTGGAGGTGTATGTAGGAATTAAACAGAGATAACTCTGTTTAACTTTTTATGAAAAAAAGTAAAACAAAATTTTGTAACAAAATAATAGAATAACAATACTTAATACACTGAGTATTATCATTTTTTTAAGCAGTGAATCAGAATACAAGATATGGGCATAAAAATTCTCCAGATGATATTAGCACAAACCTTCACTTTTTAATGAACTAAGAGAAACTAGCACAGTTTAACTATACTAAGTTATAACATAACTATCTTGCACTTTTTTTTCTTTTCTTTTCTCTTCCTTCCTTTTCCCTTTCCCCCATTCTAGTTCTTTTTTCCTTTTGAACAATTTCTAACTTTTTGAAGAATTACCAAACACATTTTCAAAGTAGCTGCAGTACTTCACACACCCACCAGCAATGAGAGGGTTCCAATTTTCCCACATCTCTGCCAATGCTTTATTTTTGTCCTCGGAATACAGCCACCTTGGTAGTTGTCAAATGGTATGACATTGTGGCTATCAACTACTGATAACAAGCATTTTTTCATGTATTTATTTTGTATATCCTCTTTAGAGAAATAATATTCGAGTCTTTTGTCCATTTTTCAGTTTTGTCTTCCTGTTACTAAGTTGTAAGATTTCTTTTCTTGTTTATTTTTGTTTTTCTGACACAGGGCATCACTTTGTAGATGAGGCTGGCCATGAATTGACTCTGTAGCCCAGGCTGGTCTCAGCTTTGTGGAAATCCTCCTGTCTCAGCCCCTAAAATGCTGGGGTTATAGGTGTATACTACTATATTCAGCAAGTTCTTTATTTAGTCTAGACAGATACCCAGTACCCTCATCAGGATGTGATTTGCAAATATTTTCTATCATTCTGTGGGCTACCACTCTCATGACAATACTCTTTTCGGTGTGTGTGTATGTGGGGACACCAGGAATTGAACTCAGGACCCTGCACTTGCCAGGTAGATGCTGTGCTGCTGAGCTATATCCCCAGCCCTAACAGTACCCTTTGATGCAGAAAAGCTTTTCATTTTCAACAAATCTAATTTATCTTTTTCTATTATTTCCTGTGTCTTTGGTGGTATATTAAAGACTCTACTGACAAATTCAAAGTTTTAAAGATTTGTCCCACGTGTTCTTCTAAGAACTTCATACTCTGGACTCTTAAATTTAGGAAATTTTATCTATTTTGGGATAACTTTTTTGTGAAAGGTACAAAATCTGTTGATGGCCTCTTCTTCACTCATTTCCATGTGGTTATATAGTTTTCTCAGTATTACTGTGTCTCGGTTACTTTTTTCTCGCTGCTGGGACAAAATATCGGACGCCCAAAATTAAGGAAGGAAAGGTTTATTTTGCTTACAGTTTGTGGAGGTTTCAATCCGTACTTGGCAGATTATAAGGCAGAGTGGCACGTGGCAGAGGGCTGCATCTCAGGGTGGCAGCACACAGCTAAGCAACAACCACACACCAGGGCAGAATTGGGGAGGAATGCCCCAAGCACTCTTTTCTTCTCACGGGTGCAGCTCCCACACCCATATTCAAACTCTATAGCCTGCCCCTTAAGCCTGGCTGCTTGGGGCTTTGTGGGGACACACAGATTCAAACCATAACATACTGTATTTGTTAAAGATTTACCTTTCTAGTAATTAGGATTCTATCAATGATATACTATTATTTTCATTCTTGTGGTTTTTTTCTTTTACAAATTCAAGCTGGCCTCAACTTCTGGTGATCCTCATGCCTCAGCCTCCTGAGTGCTTGGATTATATAGGCATGTACCACCATGTCCACTTACAGTATCATTTTAAAGCTGGCAATTCTCAAATTATGATTTACTTTTTTCAGTATCTTAGAAAGCATCCTCGTTTTTACTTTAAAATGTTTTCAGTCTTACATCGGAAGTAACAAATGTTCAATTATCAAATTAAATAAGGTAAACTAAAAAGCAAAAATAAAAACTAATATTAAGAGAAAGTTGTAGATAACACTTTGGTTTCTTATTTAATCAAATATGTTTAAAGATTTAATGTTCAAAAACTGCACCATCTAATAACAGTGCATTATCTACAAAAGGCTATTTATAATTACATTAATTAAAAATAAATAACATGAAAAATGTAGTTCCAAAACCATAATAGTAACACTTCAAGTATTCAATAACCACGTGTGGCCAGTGACTACTATACTGGACAACTGATACAGAAAGTTTTAGTCACTGTAGAAAGTTCTGTTGGCCAAGAACTACTTAGAATGTTTTCAAATTATCTATTTTATAAATAAATCTTGAGCTACTGCAAATAAACTTTTATATATATATACACCTCTGAAAATTTCATGATAATAAACTGCAGAAAATTAGTTCTTAATTCAATATGTATACAAGTGTCAACATTCTTTGAAGCACTCAGTACAAGGAGATGTTAATTTTCTTTGCGAATTTAAAAAACAATCATGTTTCAAACCTGCATGGATCAGATTTTGGGCAGAGTGAAATGAGAAAGGGATACAAAGGTCCCTGGAGATCAGTTCACATAGCTGCTACAAATGTACCAGTTATTGTAAATACTACTGTGGCAGCAGTAATCTGTATAGGAAGTGATGTCACATTACATTGCCTCCAAGTACCATTTATTTTCATTAACATCTCCATTATGACCAAATATGAGTATCTGTTGATGGCCCATTTATTGTTTTGTTTTTAATTAACTTTCCTTAGTTCACTTTTTAAAAAATTTTCTGGAGTAATCAATCCACTATGATCTCACAAGAGGTTTGTTTGTTCGTTTGTTTGTTTAAAGACAAGGTCTTGCTGTGTTGTTCAGGCTGACTTCCACTTGTGGCAATCCTGACTCAGTCTGGGATTACAGAAGTGTGCCACCACATCTGGCTAAAATGTTTTGGTACACAAAGAATACAAATATTTTTTCCAAGTATTTTCAAATATACTTCCTTAGTTTGTAACTTGTCTTATAACTGTTATGAAATATATATAAAGTTAACATTTATATAAAGTAAAAACTGACATCTTTTGTTTCTGCTTCATGTGACATGCTTAGAAAAGGCTTTCCTTTCCTTATTTACATTAAACCCTTATTTATATGAAGGTAACTGATAAGTACAAACCTTTAACTGGCATACAATATTTTAGCAAAGTAAATCAACATACATGAAAGAAACTATTCTTGTGAGACAGGTTATTGTTTCCATTTTACAAGTAAAATACTGAAGCTTCCTGATTACAGTATACATTCAAATATTTTTACTACTTTTATTATTTTATCTTATACAGTTAAATATGTAGGTTATATAAAATATATGATGGATATAGTATAAGGCAGAGATTAAATATAATATTCTCCAATGTTAGAATATTTTCAAACCTTAAAACAACTCTAAGGGCTAAAAATTTTACAATAGAATCCACCCCAACAGGCTATCTACTCGTACGTGGAATAAGAAAACTGTACTTTTATATTTTATAAATGTAGCTCTCAGGACTTTTTCCTTTTTAGAAAATATTTTCATTTAGTATAGACGTTAAACCTTTTACTTGTACTTTCTTCAAAATAAAGAGAAAAATGAGCTACATGTACGTACTTTCAGAAGAAAACAAAAGTGTAGATGAAGTACCAAAAGCCAGATCTATTCTATGAAAGATACAAGAGATCAGAAACTTGGCAAAGGTAACAGTGCTAATAGATCAGAGTTTTAAAGAACAAGCGTTTATAATTTCATGATGTACCTTTCATTACAACAAGCAGTATTCAGGTAAATAACCTTTTAACCAAGCATTAATGGTACTAGAAATACTTACATTGACCCCAGCGCCCAGTTCTTGGGTTCAAATAATTTGGATAAAGACCATTTGGACGATCCATTTTCTGAAGTAATTTCCGAATATGCATGACCTCAACAAAACAAAATTAAGAATCAATTAACAAAAAGAAATGTCACCAAAGCTTGATGTCAGTTTAGGTTTTGCATTTTTCCCAAGACTTACACCCAACCCCTGCCCTTTTTTGTGTATGATGATTGTGAAAGGCTTCTATTTCTCAAATGGGTCACTGTTTTGGTAAAATAATATAAGGTCACTATTTAAAAATCAAACAATAACAAAAGCAATACAAAGAAAAGGAGATCTGAGATAAACCATTTAGTTTATTGTTTATTTGTTTTTGCATTGCTGGAAATTGAAACCAGAGCATTTTACTTGCTAGGCTAGTGTTCTACCACTGAGCTACATCTCTGCAGTGAAATGATTTCAAATCCCAACATTCTACTATCCAAAAATAGCAATCAGAAATATTAGTGATAAACATCATTCCAGAAATATTCAATATAAGAAATAATTTCATAGAAATAAAATCACACAATTTCTACAAAAACGTATTAATTTAATGTATAAAAAATAAATGAAGTAAAATTAAATTGTTAAATTTTAAATATTCTCACCATAATAAATATTCCTAAATTCCTAAAGGTCTCCCTGAAGTTTAGGAGGGAAAAAAATTATGAAATAAAATGCTAGAGACTTTCCTGAGATTTTTTTTGGATGCGTCTCTAGACTGGTTGAATTTTGTAAGTGCTCAGGAATGTGGGTGTGTAGTGTTTAGGTAATACATCAGTAAGTGTTCTATTCTTTGTATTCTTTTTAAATGTCTTTCAAACTGTTATCTTTATATTTGGTGGGTAACCTGGCTGGCGTGAGACTTGCAAAAGCATTTTCTTTCTCATAGGACCTTACATATACTTCACTTTTCTGGACTTTAGCACAACACAAATCCTTTTTCCACAAGGTTGCCTATCATTTTTCATTTGGCTAGGTTTTGTTATCACAAAGTTTTATAAATGAGCTCAGAAATACCATCTATAATTCCTGTGCTAAGTACAAGTTAAACTTGGATAATCACATGAATCAGTTTCACAAAGTTCTGAATGTTATGAAAAATGAGAAAATTATCACTTTTTGTTAACTAAAATTACACATAATATTGAATTCTCTGTTTCTCTTCTGTATCATTTCTTTATGTCTATAATAGTTACTGGCTTTTCTCAATTTGGTCTTCTAAGTCCTTTATTATCAGCAAACTATCTATTGCCCCCATTTGGGGCTTTATAATTTTTCCTTATGCTTTGTTTCTGATAGCACATCTTACTGTCTTTGAACACTGGTCTCTCTATTATACAGAGATGAGGGCTTATGTTCTTTCTTATGGTGATGTTTGGTCAGGATTTTCTCAATGCTATTTTGTAAGTATTTTTTGGTCACTACGTTTCACTTTCCTTCTCTACTTTTCAGGTAAATTTTTGTATAAATTATGTATTTGTTCTTTTTTTGGATAAAGTGACCAATGTTATTTTTCTTGACCTAGGTATTCACAAGAAAATTTTTATATACTGTAAAGGACTAGTACAGCCCAGATGCAAATATGTTTTTTAGCTTTTGTTTCTCTCTAGCCAGATGAGATTGGCTGGACTGAGAATCTATCATTTATTCCTTTTTTTCACTCTCTTTGTAGGCACAAACATAGTCTGACAAAATTTTTCATTCAACTGTCATTTGCTTATTTCTCAGTACATCTAATCCAAAGAGATACAATCAGCCTGTGGTCTTACTCTCACTTATGAAGGCTCTCTTCAATGCTATTTAATACAATTTTAAACTTTATTTACGTTGGATTTGTGGGAATCTACGCTTCTGTTCCTATCATATGAGGCAAATTTTTATAAAATGATACTTTCTCACCTTTCACACTTGTTGGAGAGAAATGCTGAGTTTTAATGTCTATATTGATCCTTTGTACAAAAATATTTTTTCATTAAATGTAGACTGTTGGGATTGCAATACAGTTCAGCAACAGAGTACACGCTTTTAGCATGTGCAATCCTCAATCCTCAGCAACAAAAATAATTTTTAAGTACAGTGTCTTAATGTATTAGGTAAAAAAATTGTATCATCTGAGAGTAATTGGTACTTCCTTTCCTCCTTTTTAATTGTTAAACCTTTTGTTCATTTTGTTTTTCTTATCTTACCAAGCTGATTAAGAATTTCAGCTTACTGCTCAACAGAAATCAAAATGGGATTTTTAAGAAACCTAAAAGTGACTATAGTCTTTCAATAGTAGATATTTTAAATATGTTATAAATAGGGCAGATATTTCCTGGGATAATTTAAAAATGAAAAAATAAAGGCCAGAGCCTGGATAAATATTTTAAGTATTAATCAAGACTGGGAAAACTTTATAGGACTCTCCTATAAAAAACAAAGAAAAAGAAAGAAAAAAAAAAACTAACCTTTTTGTAGTAAACCAGGTCCCCCGTCAAGTAGCTCAGGTGGACAAATTCCATATGTAGTGTACCAAATTCCGCCAGAATGCTGCTTCCTGCAGATGCCCAGCCCCAGTTTCGACCTACTCCACTGAATAAAGGAAAAGAGGAGACAGGATTTGGAAAAGAATTTTTTTAATGTTTAATGAATATGTAAACTTTAAATAAATCTCTTACAAAGTAGTATATCCAACATAATACTTCAACATCTAACATTTTGATTATTAAAAATATGAAAGAGGAATAACTTCATGTTTTAAAAGACAATATTTTAAAAAGTACAGTACATATTAAGTACATCTGAAGCATTCCCATCTCCCTTCACACTAGGAGGTTGCACAATCACTTTCATTAGTTTCTCACATATTACTCCCAAGTTTTTTGTATACATAAGCAATCCAAATACGTATATTTTTCTCCTTTCTTAAATAAAACGTAACACTAATTGCAGTGTGTCAGGCATTTTACTCTTTGATGCATGTTAGGGGTCTTTCTGTATCAGTTTAAAAAATTACTTTGTCATTTTTGCTTTCACTTCTTTTACAGCTGCACAGAATTCTATGATACCAGTGTTTCTCATTTGGAGTGCTCCACCCCAGGGGCAATGAAAACGTGTGAGGACACAATACAGTACCATGTCTCAAAATCTGAAGATGCAACCTGCATTTACTGTGCCAGGACCAAAGCTATAAAATTGCCTCTAATGCTCAGAAGAGTATCATTTAATAAAGAATTGTTCTGCTCTGAAGACTGGTGATGCCTGTGCAAAACCTACTATATTATACAAATAGACATAACTTATTTAATCAATCCTCAACTTACTTCCTCAATCCTCTACTTGATGGTCCCTTGAGTATTTCCTATGTGTTATGAAATTTTACAAAGAATAATTTGTGCACATTAATGTCACTTGTGTAAGTACAGTATCTATGACATGTTCCTGATTTTTTTTTAGCCTGTTCTCTAATTTTTTGACATATGACTCTATAAATGAAAAACTGGGAGGCTTTACATGATGTTAACTTTTAGGAAGTTAAATTTCTTCTGAGACACTGATCAAGTACAGGCAGATTACCTTGGCTTCAGGCTTTGATGAGGTTATTCCATTTCAGATTTACCGCTACCTTTAAATAATGGCCCTCTGGGCTCCCAGTTAAAAGCCAGGTGGTTTACCATGGTTCCTTCACTTTAGCAAATTTAACTAAGTCTCTGGTTTCCTCAGTGTGATGTAGTTAAAGTGTTTCCTTAGTGCTTTAGGCTCCTCTGCAGTTACCTGCTGAATATGAGTTTTACTTCATACATATACAGTTAGTGAATTACTAATGACTTGAGAGAAATCTGTGCATAAATGTTTGAGGCTTTTCTCCATAATTCCTCTTGTCTGACATTTTGTCCTTCATGTCTTGAGTCATTTTAGCAACCCCAACATCTGATTATTTGGCTTCTCTACCCCCAAAAAACTGGTTTTTACTTTTCTGCACCACAATCTAGAACATGTCCTCAAGGAAAAAGCCAAAGTTTATGTGGAGGCAACCTTAACACCACATCCTCTTGAGTTCTAACTCTCTAAAACCTTCAAACTATTTGGTTTTATTTATTTTGTCTAGCTTTTATGATTGCTTTTGGTAAGAGGGTAGTCTGATAAAAGCTAGTCTGTGAGTAGAAATGGAAGCCTAATATTACCCAGTGGAACTTATAGATTAATCTACAATGCTAAATCATTCTCTAGATCTTTTCTTGCCTCCGCAAGAAAGTCAAGCCTACAGCCATACCACCTTGAATGCACTTGATCTCTTCTGAAGAAAGTAAAAATATAATTCTTTTTTTCTCATAACCACTTGCATGCTGCCAATTCAGTATGCTCTATTTTAGTGATCTGTGGTGAGGACACATTAAAATTGTTACTAAGACATATCATCTCCTTGTTTGAAGTCCCTTCATTGCTATTTTTACACATCTTTGAAACAATGGCAAGCAATTACCACTAGCAGTTTTTTAATAGCTAGAACACTGAATCAAAGAAAACATATGTATATATTAATTATGTAAGTCATTCATGTCACAAATAATAATGCTGTGCTGTGGGAAAAACATTGATAAACCCAACATATATTTCTCTTCTCATAATAAAGACCATTTAAATACTGATAATTGTGATGAAGAAAATTAAATAGGAAAATAGAACATACTGTAATACATTCAAGGATAGAAAGTGCATTAGAAATGTTTTCCCTGTATATATTATGTTTGGAAAAACATTTCTGAAATGACACAGTTTGCACTGAGACTTGAATGATGAGAAGGAGCTACTGATGAATAAAATTCTCAGTACAGGAAACAGACAATGGCCCAAAGGAAAGGAAGGGGGCTAGTGTGAGGAGAGCTCAGGAAATCAATTATACAGGATGAGGTTAGAGAGCTAGATTAAAATCTAGACTAGAATGCCCGATAATTCTAAAGGCCATAGTAAAATTTCAGAATTTTTATTTTAACTCTGAGGAAAAGTCATGGGTATTTTAAGGACTGTAACATAATTATTTAGAGTAAAACATACTATTTAGAATGATTAGCTAGGTTTCAGAATAGTGAATTTATTATAATGTGGTCAAATATGAACACAACGCCTAGGAATTCCAATAGTTTACTATTCCCTATAAAAATTTCCTGGACAAAAGTCACAAAGGAAAGTTTCATTCACATTATACTCAAACACTTTTCAAAATACTGAATTCTAAATAAGATTTTCATGTTTTATATACAGCCTCACAAGAAGAATCTAAAACTAAACCTAACATTTACATGTATTCCAAAAATTGAGAAAAATGAGAAAATCCCCAACAGCAAGGTATAAAATTACAAAGGACAAAAAAATTTCAACTAGTTATGGGAAGATGATGAACTATCAAAAAGCAAGCAGATCATAATTTCTGCTACAAATGTAATTTTTCAACTGATCAAAATAAAAGATATAGATAAACATATGTTTTTATATACACACAGAAAATGTGAATAACTAAAAATTTGCAGTAAGTACTAATAAAACAAACAGGAAAAAAAACATGATTTCTCTCTTGGCTGACCATCAGCAATCAGAGTTTTTAGATGTCTGATAAATTTTTCATGATGTACATGGTAAATCAACGTAAGTGTTCTACAATCATATTAAATAACTTTGATAATGAACCACCACTAAACAAGCAAAAAAACAAAATTTCTCTCTTTCTAATCACAAGCAATGGAATTTTGGAAATGTAAACTTTGGATGGTTTATACAGTAAATTAACTTAAGTGTCCTACAAGCAGATTAAACTGTTTTGATAATGAATTATTTATACTTTAGTTTTTATTTTGTTCAAAGTCCATGGGATATTTTTAATAGATATATCAAAGAACTTGTAAACATTCTAGTGAATTCCAATTATTGGAAACAAAGCTTGTAAAAACTGTTGAAATTTATCATGATAAAAGGAATAAACCACACTGAAAGGAACAGTTAATGCTTAAAATTTTTAATATTTTGACCAATTTTGCATGCTTCTATCTGCTAATCTGAGCAACTGATTTGAAGACAATATGTAACAGAACAACCACTGGTGAATTCCTACCATCTTGTCTAGTGAAACTCTGTATTATCTCTAATATTTTATTTCATAATTATTGTTTTATTCTCTTTAATGGTTTGAACAATCTTCCATTCTTATATTTGGTAATCTGAGTAACTTAGTTAAAGACAACAATATGTAATATAACAACCACTGTTAATTCCTATCATTTTGTTTTGAAACCCTGTATCATTTTTGATGTTCTTGCTTTGTTTTCTTTATGTCTGTGATGTTGGTATTTTCCTATTTTCCTTCTTTTAACTACTCTCTTTAAAACAAAAAAAAATTTTCAATTAAAATAAAAATAAAAGGAATAAACCAACAGATTTAGAGCACTCAATGTGTATTTGGAACACCACAATTTACTGAAGTAGCCATTTGACAGAGTTCATATTTTCACTGGAGATATATCTTCCTTAGCCTATGCCTCAAATTATTTCCTTAGGATAAAGTGACAGATGTACAATTATTAAATCAAATGCAACATGTTTTAAGGTCATTTAAGAGATAATTTGTAAGTAAAGCTGCAATGTTAGAATACACCTCTTCCCACCTTACCTAGAACAGATGTAAATTTTTTTTAATGTAAAAAACTTCCCTGTTTAACAGATGAATGCAAAACTTTAATTTTTATTTTTATATGAAATCTGATGTTACATTTTTATTAAATGTGGGAGATATGTAATACATTCAGATGCTGTAAATATCAAAAAAAGTATAAAATAAAGAATCTTTCTGTAAGCCCAGTACCTATTCCAATCAGTTCCTGGTCCCAAAGCTAATCTGTTCTCAGATTTTCACGTATCATTTGAAAAATTTTATGGCTCTATCAGTATAATTTGAATTGCTTACTACAGTATGGTTCAACATTATTTAAAATACTCATTGGTTATTTATATTTTTTACTCCATATTTTTCAAATATTTCATCTAAATATGTATGTATTTATTATTATTTTAGAGAATAAAAATAATAAAAAAATGGGAAACAATACAGAATTTCAAAAAGTAATTGAATTCACTGAATTCAACAATGGTTGTTATATTCCACATTACTGTGTTCAAACTAGTTGTTCAGATTACCAGATATAAACATGCAAAATAGGTTCAAAAAATTAAACATAAACTGTTCCTTTCAATAAAACAGAAATTAGTAGTACAATTATTTTAGCTATCTTTTGTATATATATATATTTTTTTTTCCCGCTCTTTCTTTCTTTTCTCTTCCCTCATCTCAGTTGTTCTTTCCTTCTCAGCAGTTTCTTTCCTATTCACAATATCTATTGTACCTTTCAGATTTTATTTACTCTTTCAGGTTCTCACACTAAGCAGACAATATGATGTTTACACATGTGGATCTGATTTATTTCACTTATGACTATGGTCTCTAGCTGCATCTATTTACCTATAAAAGCCTCAAGTTTATCTATCTTTATAGTTGAGCAATGCTCCACTGTATAAAAATACATCTTTTTTATCCATTCTGCAGA